TATTTTCTAGAAGGAAATTCTCAAAAATCAATAATTTTTATAATTGAACGAATTTCCGTAGGACTTTAATGGTTTAGTATGTTCATTAAGACCAAGTACTCTATTGTTATACCAAGTAAATCGTCTAATTTTAATTTTAACAAACGTCAAAAAAACTACTTATTTTCTCAAACTTTGATGAATTTTTAAAATTAAACTACTTGTCGTAAGGCCGTAATATTTTAGTAAGTTGTATAAGTCCATGATATATATATATATATATAATCGTCTTACATTTTTTTTCAACAGTTAATTTCAAGAAAACGGCTCGGCAGATTTTCACCTAAAACTAATCAGTATCATTCCCAACTAATATCTTTCGAACAGTTTTTGATTTTTTTAAATCTATACGGTAGTATGAGCTTAAATGTGGACGAAAAGCTTAACACTTTTTTCCAAATTACAAAAAAACGCTTGGCAGATCGTCGCACAAAACTGACAAGTGATAGTCCTCATTGAGATACATCAAATGGCGTTTTTAACAAAACAAATCGGTTCAGGCGTTTTTAACAAAACGTCGATGAAAGGTCTAATTTTGACAAATGCGAAAAAAAAGGATACTAAATTTTACAAAACTTGAAGAATTTTTAAAATTAAACGACTTGTCGTAGGACCGTAATATTTTAGTATGATCTACAAGACTATGGTATCTACCGTAAAAAAAAATCATAAAAATCGTCGAATTTTTTTTTTTAAGACTTTATTACAAAAAAACGGCCCGGCCGATCTTTACCAAAAACTAATCAGCACAATTTCCAACCAATACCTATCGAACAGTTTTTGAATTTTCAAAATCGATTCAGAATTGCGGGCTAAAACGTGGACAAAAAAATTTTCACTTTTCTGCGATTTAAAAAGAAACGGCCATGCCGATCGTCGTGCAAAACTCAGAAACGCTAGTCCTCATCGGTCCAGCCGTTTTGGGGAAAACGTCGATTTACGGCAAAAAATCTGTTCACAAACACAGACACATATATACACACATATACTTTTTCCAAATTTGGTTTCTTTCGATTCAGAATGGCTTGAAACGTCGAGAAAACGGGAAGTTCATAATAATATAAAATTTTAATTTAGTAATGAATTAAAACAAAACACGTTTTCAGATTATGTTTTAAAGCTCGTTAAGCAATAAAAGTATATTTCGAACAACTTAGTTTACGTACAGCTAGTTTTGCATATGTACTAACAAATTATTTGTTTTCTAAACTACTTTTATTATTAACTTAAGTTAGTTTATGGATTGCATTTAATTAAATTGCGATAGGATAGAGCGATGCTTAAAGGTACGCGGGTATAAAGGTCCACTACTGATATCTCCAAACCAAGTAAAGTTTAATAAAAATATTTGAAAGTAGATGGCAAAAGTTGCATAACCAGCCATCACATTGAGATAACCGTCAATGTTTGAAAATTCATAACAAAAGTATTTTTTCGTTGTTGTTAGTTTTGTTGTTGTTCAGTATATGAGACCTTATCATAATTTATAAGTCTACGTTATTTAAATGTTTTATATGATGTATTGTTATTTAATTCAACAGTTTTTTTTCAATGACCTCAATAAAAGCTTACACGTAATGGGATAAAGAGAACCAATTGATCCTTTATCCTGTCAAAGGTGATCACAATGAAAAATAGTAAATAAAAAAGTAAATTAAGTTAAAAAAGCGATTTTACAAGAAATAAAATTTAATTTCTTCAATTTTAAATTACGGTATGGAAAATTCAGCACTATGCCTTAAAGCACGATGCCTAGTTTTAATAGTAAAATTGCAATGTCAGGTTGTTGAAATAGAACGAAATATGCAGTCAAGTGTCATTGACTTTGCAATATCAAATTAACTGCGTCAGCGGAAAACATCAGATGAGGAGCATAGAGCAAAGCGTATAAGCATAATAGTTTTAAAAAGATACATGCTGAATTATCAGTAATTCCCAACGTGGGGCGCACGTCCCACAAAAGCGCAATTTTAAATTTAGGGGGGCAGATTAAAAAATGGCACTCTTTTAACCCATTTGCTTTGGGTAATTTCAATGCAATGGTAGATATTTTCGATATTTTAGAGGAGAAAGAATATTTATAAATTATTCGACCTATTCTGCCGTATAACAAACCAATGTTATGGCAAGGCTATGTTATGAAGAACTTTCTATACAAAATCGTTCTAAATATTGACAAAAGTCGTGTGGTTGCTGTGTAGTCAAGCGTTTTTCTCAGACAGAACTAGAAACCACATAAATGTCAAAAAACGATCTTAGATAACAGGGTCTTTCTGATCCAGCTTCATAACATACCTGTAGCATTGCAGTTTATGTGTAAAACGCCCTAATGCACAGCAAATTCATGACATTTTGACAGTATTCATTATAATTCAGTAGCATAATTCATGCAACATAGCCTTGCCATAACATTAGTCTGTTGTGCCAGAATCGGTCCATAAATCTATATAACATTTGCATTTTTTATACGATAACCCCTACACCATAAGTTTCTTTACGTGTATGTGTATAACCTTACGTATGCCTAAAAATTACATTATACGTAATTCAATCCTTACATCTTATATCTAATTCACCTAATATTTATTAAAACGCATAATTTTTCTTACATACTATTTTTACCCTTACCGGGAAAACCGAGCCTCGGTCTGCCGCGTGACAGGCAGCGACCTTCTAGACCACCGTGTCGTTGTGATTAAACGTCTTTCTTCGTGTGTCGTCGCATCACCTTATTGTTAGTATTAATTACTTAATTGATTAGAAAAAGAAACCGCGTAAACAACAGTGCCCCCCACACATCCCCCACAGTAGTGATACAGGTGCATGACTGTCATGCGGAGGCACCGGGTTCTATTCCCGGTTAAGACTAAAATAAATAGGTAAAGATAATATATAGGGCGTAAGGTAAAAATATAGCAAGTATAAATAGTAGAAAGTAATGGAGATAGAAAGTAGAAAGTAAACGGTGTCTGTTATTCATGTATAATAAGTATAATAAGCAAATAATAATCTAGCGGCAATAAATTATTTATTATTATTATAAAGGATAGGAATTGATGGTATAGGTTTCTTACTGTATGATAGATAATAGTTGGATTATCTGTGATATATAATAGTATAGTATAATATATTAGTATGATAGATAATAGTAAGATTATCTATAATATCATAAGATTAAGTCTTATAACGTATTGTAATAAATCTTGAGTATTTTTATAGGAAAATAAATACTTGTATGTGTTAATAAATACAGTTAATATATTTGTTAATGAATACAATTAATTAATGGATATAAATTATGTACTCAATGACTTCTGTATACTTGTACAATTCATATGTATAGTTTATGATAGTTTATCAATTAGAAATCAATATATTATATTAATTTACATGTAATCATCGAAATACATTGAATGCCTTTTAAGCTTCTGAAATAGGTGCAGCCGCAAACCTTTGAGAAAACGTCTAGGAAAAAGAACTTTATTAAATGTAGAAAACTCAGTAATGAAATTAATCTGAATATCAATTTTTATAACATGTTTGACTTATGAAGTTTTGATCACAATATAAGGGTCTATTTTTTATATTTGAAAACAAAATCATTTTTAAGGGTGGGGCATGACCCATAAAAGGTTGGGAATCGCATCTCGAAATCGTCGCATATTTAGGAACGTTTTCCGAAAAATTGAATAAAATGTAATAAAGAAAGTATTAAACTGTTTCAGTTTAGTATTGAACTTGTAGAATAGTATCTAATAAACAACGTCACCTCACACACCGTATTTATTTATAAATCAAATGCGGCTGTTGGCCTGGTACTGTATCGAACTACATGCACAAGCTAATGCGCGCGTTGTACACTCTCGTTTCTAAAATCTCTAATTGAAAATATGCAAAAATGTTCAAATTAATTTTTTGCTTAAATACAATACACAACTCTATTCTACTACCATAACAATGTGCAATAATCTAGAACCAAATTGCAGTTAAGAATTCAATAGACATCAATAAATAAATTAAATTATAATAGCATAATTTCAAATTTTGTTTCGTACTGTTGCCAATTATATTTCAATGCAAATACTTTTAGAAGCATATTCACGTTCCTTTTTTTATTGCCAAAATAGATTTCAGTTTTGCAATTATATAAATTGCAAAAATAAAATTTATATCAAATGTGGGTTTGAAACAATTAACGTCGATATAATTTTTGATTGATATCATTTTTCAAAAAAACTAAATTAAGAAGCATTTACTCTTTTTCCAATAACATTTTGTTTTATTTAATCTGTAGCAAAAACGTGCAGTAGTTGAATTATTAAATATTAGAAAAAATGAATATTTTTTAGTCTAATATGTTTTTCAAAGTGTTTGGAATATTTTCGATAATTTTTCATCAACCGTCCAAAATATTTGGAATAGTGTATATTTACTGTGGGCTACCAGGGAAACAGCGCTTTTTTAGAACTAGATTCCTGATATTATTAAACAAATTTCTAAATATCAACGCTTGATCAACATTTTTTAGATTAGAGATTTTACTTTAATATTTGAAAATAAACTGACAATAGTGGACATCTTTTATTGTTAGTGTTCAGAGGATTTAGCATATAGAATATAATAATGGGTAGTACTGCCCTAGGGCAGGTCTGTGAGCTGAGAAAAGCTCGAACTCGAGTCAGGGAAGAACAATGTGAGATTTTCCATTGCCATTTCACACCGTAGTGCTCGAAATGGGCTATTTTCAATTGGAAACACATTTTTGATCTATATTTTCAAGTGAAAATGAACATCGCTACTGCAAGATGCAGGATGTTCATACGAATGCTAAAATTTTCAAGTGCTATAATAACTTGGAATTTCTTAAAGAATGCAAACGTATTATATAATTGTACTAATAATTTATATTTGGATTATGTGGAAAGATTGCAAATAAAGACAAATAAAAAAGTTTTGCTTACCTTCTTGTTTTGTAAGTTCTCTTCTGGCAATATCGCGTTCTCTGAGAGCAGTTTCTAAATTTTTCTTTTCGTGGATTGCAGCTTTTCCTGCACCATCTAAATCACGAGTCAAACCTGCTATTGTTAACCTAAACAATTAAAAAAATTGCATCAGGCTGTATAAAACTATGATATAGAAAAATCATAGCCAATAACTTACTTCAGCCTTTCGAGTTCTTTATTCAACCCAAATCTCACATTTTCAGCCAAACTCAGTTTTTTAACATAGCTTTCTCTCATTTTCTCAGTTTTTGCAATTTCAATTCGTAATTTGCTTACCTCATCGTCCCTTAGCTGTAATAAAATTATTGATTCAACTTCAAACAATATTCCATAATCTCAAAAAATATTTATTTGTCTTAATTATCATGTAACTAGAAACTTGAGATATGGTTCTTTATATATGAAACATTATAATAAAACACTTAACTATCTTATTGTAATATATTTGTATATACAAAATAAAAATTGTCTTACCCGCATTTCCAAATTAAGCGTTGACATTTTTTTATTAAGTTTTGCGACAAGATTTATGTTTTGATCTAGTTCTAGTAATGTTCTTGTATGAGCTAAGTTCAAATTAGCAAATTCATGTTTTCGCTTTTCAACATCGCGTATCAAGTCGTCTTTTTGAGCTTCAATACGTTCGATTGTCATGCGTTGTTGATCCATCTAAAATGAGATAAATTTAAATAAAGTCTAGAACTATATGCACATAATTATGTATAAATACTAGTGGAGTGCATGGCATCTAGCCTTAAGGCAAATTGCTGGAACTTTCCGTACCAAATATTATTATTTTTTTTAAAAACGATTAACATTTTTGAAAAAAATTTACTTCGAAAAAATTAGATTTTTGAGAAGTTATGAATTTGACAAAAAATTATTTTACAATTATTTGACAAAAAAGGTTTCTTTATTTTGACATATTTTGGAAATTGTAAACTATTTTCAAAGCAATCGTACTGCTTTAACTGCATAGAGACAAAATGTCAAAGCGCGTAAGCGCCGCATCGCCGTCTAACGGGTAAACATTGGTACGGAACCCATAGAAATATAAACAAAATTTATACTTATTGTTAAAATCTCTATAAAATACCTGATAATTTGATGTGCATATGTCTAATGATCATTTTTGACCGCCAAATGGCATTTTTTTTACTTTTTTTATTAGATCTCCGAAATTGCTAGACCTGCCTTTATGAAAATGATCAATGATCATCTTGTCAATACAAGTAAAATGTTTTTTAAATTATTAAAATCGGACTCTCCGTTCTCTTAAAAGCTGAGTTACCGTTTTTGGCACTCTTTGCCCCGTATCTTTGGAACGGCTAGACCTGCCTTTGCCAAAAACTAATCAGCACGTCTCCTTATCAACACAAATCAAATGTTTTTTGAATTATTTAAATCGGTTGATCGGTGTTCCCGAAATCGTCGACGAAAATTTGTATCCGCACACACACACACACATTCACACACACATCTTTTCTAAGGTATTCCAAAATGATCAGAAACCTTTGAAACGTAAAGATATATAAAAATTTTCATTTTCGATTTTTTTGCGATTACTATAACTTGCCCTACGGGAAGTTAACAAGCTTTTTTTTTAACTTCCCGTAGGGTGAGTTACAGTAATCTTCGCTTTTCGAAGGTTTCTGAATATTATGGATATATATGTGTGTGTATGTATGTTTGGATACAATTTTTCGTCGACGATTTCGGGCGCACGGATCAACCGATTTGAACGTTTTAAAAATATTCCTATTGATGGGAAAACATGCTGATTAGTTTTTGGCAAAGGCAGGTCCAGCCGTTTTGAATATACGAGGCAAAAAGTGCTAAAAACGGTAACTTAGTTTTTGAGAGAACGGAGTACCTGATTTGAAGGATTCAAAACACATTTCACTTGTATTGACGAAATAAACAATTGACGACATTTTTGCTAAGACAGGTCTAGCGGTTTCGGAGATACAGAAGTAAAAGTTAAAAAAAAGATATTTGGCGGTAAAAAATAATAATTAGACATATGCACATCAAATTATCAAATATTTGATGACATTTTTAAAAATGAGAACTAATTTTGTTACAATTTTGTTAGGTTTCGTGCCAAGATTGATAATTTTTAAAGTTTACTTATTCGGTTCACGCAAATTTCAAAATTATTAGAATAATTTTTTTTCAAAATTTCAAAAGTATACAAAATTTTATTCTTTGATGTTTAAGTAAACAATTATTTAATTTTCTGTACACTTTTATAAGCTTTTCATGCAATTTTAATAAACCGTATCATACTTCGAATATGAATTTTATTTACATTCTAGTTTGAAAATGTATAGATTTCAAATGCGTTATTCTTATCATAAGAAATATATCCTCAGATTATATTTATTCGGCACCTCTTGCTAATGTTATCTTTCTCAAGTGTTTTGAGCAATAAGATTGTCACTGTATATTTTATGAACGATAAAATATATAGTGATTATAATAATTATCTATTTGAAAATGTTTAAAACAAATGTTATTAATCATTGATCAACTTTTATTGATTACTGATTTTTCCCGAATATTTAATTCTGGTACGGGAAGTTCCAGAAATTTGCCTCAAGGCATTGCTTTCTAATAGCGTACTTGCCTAAAAACTATCACACTTCAAAATAGCTCATAGAAAAAAAAATCTGATTGCTGTTAACCCCTTGATACGCATTTTAATAATCAACAGAGGTATGAAAAATAACATTTATATTTGTTGCAAATAATTATGATATTTATGCTTAATTTAACTGACTTGTGCAAAAAAATATTAATACTTTAATTATGTATGATAAATTTTATGACAGAGTCCCGTCACCGAGTCACACTCAATATAATAATCAATGACAAAACTTACCAATGAACGTCAGAATTTTTTTCTTTTTTTTAACTTCCCGTAGGGCAAGTTATAGTAATCGCAAAAAAATCGAAAATGAAAATTTTTGCATTTCTCGACGTTTCAAAGGTTTCTGAATATTTTGGCATACCTTAGAAAAAATGGATGTATGTGTGTGTGTGTGTGTGTGTGTGTGCGTGTGTGTATGTATGTGCGGATACAAATTTTCGTCGACGATTTCGGGAACACCGATCAACCGATTTGAATAATTCAAAAAACATTCGATAAGGAGACGTGCTGATTAGTTTTTGGCAAAGTCAGGTCTAGCCGTTCCGAAGATACGGGGCAAAAAGTGCCGAAAACGGTAACTCAGTTTTTAAGAGAACGGAGCGTCCGATTTTAATAATTCAAAAATCATTTTACTTGTATTGACAAGGTGAAGAACCGATCAAATTTTCATAAAGGCAGGTCTAGCGGTTTCGGAGATCTAATGAAAAAAGTAAAAAAAAAAGCCATTTGGCGGTCAAAAATGATCATTAGACATATGCACATCAAATTATCAGATATTTTATAGAGATTTTAACAATAAGTATAATTTTGGTTTACATTCCTATGGGTTCCGTACCAATGTTTACGCGTTAGACGTCGACGCGGCGCTTATGCGGTTTGATATTTCGTCTTTATGCAGTTAAAGCAGTACGATTGCTTTGAAAAAAAGTTTAGATCTTTCAAAATATGTCAAAATAAAGAAAACATTTTTTTTTCAAAAAAAAAAATAAAAAAAAAAATTAAAAAAAAGTAATTTTTTGTCTAATTGTTTGTCAAAAATCTTATTTTTTCGAAGTAAATTTTTTTCAAAAATGTTAATCGTTTTTAAAAAAATAATTTTTGTTACGGGAAGTACCAGCAATTTGCCTTAAGGCACGATGCCTTAATTGCCTTAAGACAGAATTCCACTTACAGCTAGTTTATAATTTCATTTGAACAGCGATCAGAACTTATGTGTTCTATGAGCTGTTGTGATTAATATCTTACAAACTACGTTTGTTTTATTACAAATGGCAACCCAAACAGTTGTCACATCTCTGTGTGATAAATTTTTATTACAATCTCTGTAATAGAGCAAGTATGGTGCTACAATGCCGGTTGAGGGCTATTTTCACTTGGAAACATATTGCTATTTATATTTCCAAGTGAAAATCGTTGTCACTGTTGCCTGACAACAGACTGCTCGAAGTGGGTATCGAACCCAGGACCTCTGGAACAAGTCCCGTCGCTCTTAACCGCTCACCTACGAGGGAGCCCTGAACGTCAGAGATACGGACTTGAAATATTTGTAATATTATATTTCTATATTAACTGTGACCCATACGGAGTAGGTAATCTTTTGAGACATATAAAATTTCAGTGACGAGTCAGTAACGTTGCTCGTACATGACAAAATATCAGATCAAGTAAAAATGATCATACATTGATTTGATGTATTCCGGATTTTGTTATAAATATTTATAAATATTCAAATATTGCAAATAAAACTTTCTACATGTTCTGACAAAGAAGCGTTTGTTTAATTTAGTAGATACCTTCGCTTAAAACTTTTCCATTATGATTTATAATACTTATCATAAGAACAATTATCATGTTGTTGTATAACTAATAGTCTATGCTTTTATGTGTTATATTATCTGACTGTAATCGAATCAAGACTTTATTTAATAATTAATTTCTAAATCTAATTTGTGTCGTAGTGTATATTCATAATTCGGATGATATGAACTGTTGAAAACCACATCGTACAATATTCTTTAATTTTCTAAGATACCTGAGAAGTCAACTCCTTAATTTCTTCCACTTTAAGATCGAGTTCTTCTGTTAATGATTCTAACTGCGATTGGAGTCTGTCCTTTAATCTTTGTTCTTTTAGGGCTTCATTGTTTTGTGTCTAAAATAATTTAAGTGGCATTGGTTATTGACAATTTTTCCTATTCAGTAGCATGTTTTTAAATATTTCAATTAATTATAACTAATTATAACTAAAAAAGGCAAATGAATAATAATTATTATTCATTTGCCTTTTTTAGTGATTTAAAAACGAGATTAAAAGTGTTTACAGTATATAATCAAAGTATAAAACGCATAGTATTACCATTAAATTTTTATAGAAATTTGATTTATTGCTTTTATATCTACTTTTGAAATTTTCTGATTCAGTAATTCCCTTTGTTAAAGATAACAAATAAATATTTGGCCATGTTCGTGTTTTATTGAAATTGGTGCACAGCTTGGTTTACAAAATACCAATAATCTTACGATTACAGTGAAGCTATAACATTATTATATACATATCAAACCAGAGTTAATTTGCCTCTAAATTACATCTTGCATGCATACTTTTAGCTATGTTCAAAAGGTCTTTATGGTCTGTCTACCAGAATACTTTAAAATATATATTACATGATTCATTAACCCCTTCGTGACGATTGCCGTCTATGGACGACATCCAATCGACTACCTGTGTATTCGAATGTCGTCCGTAAACGACATGTTTTGTGTCGGTCTTCGCTTCAAGATTTATCACTTTGAGTTAAATTATTAGTAATTCTATTATTCATTGTGATTTTTAGATTATTAGAAGCGCAATATTTAATTTTATATCACATTTTTATAGATTACGATAGAAATATCTTAAAATATATCGTTATGTTTTTTTCGTTCAGCAGCACTACTAATGGACATGCTGTTCTGTACAGCAGCGATACTTCTGCCGAAAATACTCTCGTAGCGAAAGGGTTGGAGTATTCAGTATGCTCTATTTTGAAGCAGTACTAAAATCATATCAATTATTACTTTATAGTAGTTGGAATTTATTAGGTTTATTAATTCCTCCAAGAAATAGTAAATGAATAATACCTCAATCTGTTGTTCCAAGTTTAGTACTTTGTTGTCCGCTGCACTATTTTTTCGTTCCAATTCTGTTTGGTAAACTCTTGAAGTTTCAAGTCGACGACGCATCTCGGCTACTTCCATTTGGAGTCTCTCGCGTTCGCGAATCAATGCCTCTCTTTGTTTCTCTCTAGACATTCTAGTTTGATAAAATTTTATAAAATTAGAAAACAATCTAATTTATCGAATTTGTTCATAAACAGTTGCATTAGGTGATAATAAATTATGTATTTGAAATTAGTTGGCAATTACTATACTAGGCTAATTATCAATACTTTTCAAGTAAACTTAACAAGTTAGTTTAAAACTTAAATAAACTTTTATCAGGATAGCTAATGGATACGTTGGTCATCATTTGATGCAACCTTTCTTTATTGCTAATGCGAGGGTGAGTGTTTATCGCCTACTTTTTCTGATACTAATTACTTTAATTATTTTAAATAGAACCAGTCTTATTTCTTGGCAAGTAACAGTTTAAAACATGAGTTTTTATTTAGGATTTTACCAAAAATCTTATTAAAAACCTAAAAAAAAATTAAATATCAGTTGAGTATTTTGGCGATGAATGTGTTAAGCCATTTCTTTCGAAATTATCAATAAAATATTCTAATTTTAAATATTTAGATTCTTGTCGATCAAGTTTTCAAATATCGGAAAGATTATGCAAGTTAACTTGAGACTAAATGCTACATAGGCATAGTTTTTTATTACTTTGAAAGAAAAGCTTTAAATATGTTCAGCAATTTATATGAGCATTATTTTTATTAACTTTGCGTGTAGTAAGTTATAGTAATCGCAAAAAAATTGAAAATATTTTTTTTAAATCTTTATGTTTCAATGATTTTTGTACATTTTGGCATACCTTTTAGAATAAATGAATATGTGTGTGTATGTATGTATGTATGTGTGTGTGTGCAAATACAATTTTTTGTTGACGATTTAGAGAACACGGATCAACCGATATCAATATTTCAACTAGCTGTAAGTGGAATTCTGTCTTAAGGCAATTAAGGCATCGTGCCTTAAGGCAAATTGCTGGAACTTCCCGTACCAAAAATTATTATTTTTTTAAAAACGATTAACATTTTTGAAAAAAATTTACTTCGAAATAATTAGATTTTTGAGAAACTAGGAATATGACAAAAAATTACTTTTTTTTGAAAAAAAAATTTTTATTTGAAAAAAAAATTTTTTTTGAAAGAATTTTTTTTTTTTTGAAAACAAACTATTTTTTTGAAAAGAAAAATGTTTTCTTCATTTTGACATATTTTGGAAATTCTGAACTTTTTTTCAAAGCAATCGTACTGCTTGAACTGCATAGAGACGAATTGTCACAGCGCAAGTGCCGCGCCGCCGTCTAACGCATAAACATTGGTACGGAACCCATAGAAATGTAAAAAAAAATTATACTCATTGTTAAAATTTCTATACAATATCTGATAATTTGATGTGCATATGTCTAATCATCATTTTTAACCGCCGAATGGCATTTTTTTTTACTTTTTTCATTAGATCTCCAAAACCGCTAGACCTGCCTTCATGAAAATTTGATCAACTCTTCATCTTGCCAATACAAGTAAAATGTTTTTTGAATTATTCAAATCGGACGCTCCGTTCTCTTAAAAACTGAGTTACCGTTTTCGGCACTTTTTGCCCGTATCTTCAGAACGGCTAGACCTAACTTCGCCAAAAACTAATCAGCACGTCTCCTTATCAGTACAAATCGAATGTTTTTTGAATTATTCAAATCGGTTGATCCGTGTTCCCGAAATCGTCGACGAAAATTTGTATCCGCACATACATACACACACATACATACACACACACACACACACACACACACACATACATCCATTTTTTCTAAGGTATGCCAAAATGTTCAGAAACCTCTGAAACGTAAAGATATATAAAAATTTTCATTTTCGATTTTTTTGCGATTACTATAACTTACCCTACGGGAAGTTAAAAAATATTCAATTCCTACTGACGAGAAGACGTGCTGATTCGTTTTTAGCCAAGAGAGGTCCAGCCGTTTCGAAGATATGTTTCAAAAAGTGCCAAAAATGATAATTCGTTTTTTAGGGGTTTCAGAAATACTATGAGAAAAGTAAAAATAAATGCCATTTTGCGTTCAGAAATGATTATTAGACATATGCACAAGAAATTATCAGATATTTTATTTAAAATTTATGTACAAATTTTATTTGTGCATTTCGATGGGTTCCGTACAAAGATTTATAATGTTTAACGTTTAACTTCAAAATTTCTTCTCTAAAACGGCTACGCAGCGGGATTAATTTGAAAACTAGTGGGGCGCGTGGCATCGTGCCTCAAGCAAGCCAAATTGCTGGAACTTCCCGTACCAAAAATTATTATTTTTTTAAAAGATTAACATTTTTGAAACAAAATTACTCTGAAAAATTAGATTTTTGAGAAACTATAAATTTTTGTCAAAAATTTCCTTTTTTTTTTTTGAAAAAAAGACTTTTTGAAGAAAAGTGTATTTAGAAATATTTTGGAAATTCTGAACTTTTTTTCAAAGCAATCGTACTGCTTTAACTGCATAGAGACGAAATATCGATGCGCGTAAACGCCGCGCCGCCGTCTAACCGATAAGCATTGGTACGGAACCCATAGGAATATAAACAAAATTTATACTTATTGTTAAAATTTCTATAAAATATCTGATAATTTGATTGCATATGTTTAATGATCATTTTTGACCGCCAAATGGCATTTTTTTTCACTTTTTTTACTAGATCTCCGAAACCGCTAGACCTGCCTTCATGAAAATTTGATCAGTTCTTAATCTTGTTAATACAAGTTTTTACTTGTGCATACCTTAGAAAAAATGGATGTATGTGTGTGTGTGTGCGTGTGTGTATGTATGTGCGGATACATATTTTCGTCGACGATTTTGGGAACACCGATCAACTGATTTGAATAATTCAAAAAACATTCGATTCGTATTGATAAGGAGACGTGCTGATTAGTTTTTGGCGAAGGCAGGTATAGCCGTTTCGAAGATACGGGGCAAAAAGTGACAAAAATGATAACTCAGTCTTTAAGAGAACGGAGCGTCCGATTTTAATAATTCAAAAAAAATTTAACTTGTATTGACAAGATGAAGAATTGATCAAATTTTCATGAAGGCAAGTCTAGCGATTTTGGAGATCTAATAAAAAAAGTAAAAAAAAATGCCATTTGGCGGTCAAAAATGATTATTAGACATATGTACATCAAATTATCAGATATTTTATAGATATTTTATCAGTAAGTATAATTTGTTTTTACATTTCTATGGGTTCCGTACCAATGCTTATCCGTTAGACGGCGACGCGTCGCTTACGCGCTTCGATATTTTGTCTCTATGCCGTTCAAGCAGTACGATTGCTTTGAAAAAAAAGTTCAGAATTTCCAAAATATGTTAAAACGAAGAAAACATTTGTTTTTCAAAAAAAAATTTGTTTTAAAAAAAAATTTTTTTTTTCAAAAAAAAGTATTTTTTGTCAAATTTATAGTTTCTCAAAAGTCTATTTTTTTCGAAATAAAATTTTTTCAAAAATGTTAATCGTTTTTAAAAAAATAATAATTTTTGGATAGGGGAAGTTCCAGCAATTTGCCTTAAGGCACGGTGCCATGCGCTTCACTAGTTTTAATTTGCTTTAGGACACGATGCCATGCATCATCACCATCAGTCACATTGGTTATAAACTTACTCCTCCATCTGCTCCGATCCTAAACTGGCATATTGCTTGAGTTCATCGGACAATCTGTTAACTTGCGCGCGCAGATTGCTCACCACTTCTTGGGTGCTCTGCTCGCGAGCGTTTGCAGCATCCGTCATATGCTTCATAAATTCTATAACAAAATACATTGATTTAACGATAATACCTCTGCTACTGCTAATAATACTTTTAGAAAATAGAAGAAAGAAAAGTCAGTTACAAATGATTTCGAAATTTTATTATTTAGACAAAGACCCATGAAACTTTATTTTACGCTGATAAATGATATACACATATTTACTGCAATTGAAAGAAAAGCTTTGGCGTTTATTGAATCTTTATATATTTGGCTTATGATTAAGAGTTTCTGAAATTTTATTTTTTTATTATAGATATTTTTACGTTATTCAAAAATCGCTTTTGATATGATTAAGGCCTTAATCGTATTACCTAAAGCTTTAGTTGCACCTACTACTAAAAACAATATATAATTCAGTTTGAATTGGGATAGAACTGTGTATGAAGATACAGCCTTTAAACAAAAACTTTGTAATATTGTATCTATCCATCATTCGTTTGCATTTATTTAAAAAAATGTATTAAACGCTTCAAGATTTATAGCTTAAATTGAAATCAATGAAATTATGTCATTGACTTAATCTAAACAAGATCTACCGTTGAATTTTGAATAAACGATTGCCAATTCTAAAATATGTAGGAGAAATACAGACAAAATGGTACATATGGATAAAATGACACAGTAGCATTGTTTAAAAATTGAATAGTTTTAGAAACGTTTCCGCGACTGTATAACATGAAGAAATTCATAGTGACAATCCTTTCAGATGTTGAGCGTCATTGTCACATTCTTGTCGGAGTAATTAGATCAAACGTACATCGCGATTTCAAAAGTTCATTCTAACGGTGGTTTTGTCATGTATTTTTCGGTATTTATACATTTTCATTTGTAATTATTTATATTAAATTTGATAAACTTACGCCAGTACTTACCATAAAACGTTTCATGGAATTTTGATTATCTATTTATTTTTTATAACTTTTGGACAAAATGTAACACTTATACAATAGACAAAATGACAGTACTATTTCGCAAGAACTACATGGTAGTTCATTCGAGATCAAAAAAAATAAATAAATCTGTCAAAAGTGATTGGATTTTAACTTCTACTCTAACTACTTCTAAAAACAGACCAAAAAATCCGCCGGTAAAATGAAGAGATTTGCCTTTATTGCAAAAACCTTTTTCTCCTTCTTAGCCCGGCGAAGGTTGGTTACGATGTATTATTTGTTCCCTTTGGGTTCATACATCATGTGCTGATGTCCCAAAGAGGACCAACCGATTTATTTGTGAACTGCCTTCTTAAAAATTACCATCTTAGTATGGCCTTA